TACCCATATATATGTAGTTTATTGGATTTTGGCAGCCATTTTGAAAAAAAGCGCCCTCACACGAAAGTTCTCAGGTTACGCCTCTTTTACCTCACATATTCTGATTCCCCATAAAAAATTGGTCTAGAAAAACCATATGAGAATTTCTACCTCTCCAAGTGGCACCTATCTCAATTATAGCCTGGTCTAATTAGTGAATATCACCTTATAATGAAAACGTCATGGGAATAGCATCGTAGTACCCGCTGCTACTTAAGGATCTGATTCATCACTAGCCACCAAGTACAAACTCGGTGGTCTAGTGGTTAAGACTTCAGGCTAGTTATCTGAAGATCGTGGGTCCAATTCCCACCCGAATCACTTACATTTTTCGCAATCATTTAGGAACGTTAGGCTACTGAGCAGTCAGTATGCAGGGGGCAAACATCATATCGTATTATGTAATGTTAACTAGTCAACTTCACTCCATAAAGAAATGTTAAGTTCATACTTCTAATAATGTATACAAAGGATTAGCAAGCCTCCATAATGTGCGGCCCTACCACTTTAGGAGCAAATGATTTGACCTGATCAGTGATAGCCTACTTAATTTTATTATTTTCGTTAGCGAAATTAGATAGGCCTATGTTGCTTTTAAAACTTGTTATCATTTGTCAATGACGCTTTTCAAAATCACGCGGTTGTCGCAAACTATTGTTAAACTTGTAGCGGTTTGAACTCTCACCATTATTTGTTTAAACAGCTGTGAAATATTAACAAGTGTTACCGTACCGTAACACAATCATATCAAGTAATATAATTGTAAAAGATATACGAACTGAACATTGAATATGTGTACAACGGTGAAATGACCAGGATTTCAGGCATGAACAGCAGTGCCGTGATTTTTTTTCTAGGCGGTTACAAAAAGCCCGTTCTTTCTCTAGAAGCCAGCTATTTATTCGCCGTAGAGGGCGTATTTACAAATTAAATCACGTTACTGTGGTTGTAAAGTGAGGTCTCACCACGAAATGAGACGCATCGTTGGTGAAATCATATTAAGATATTCACCAAAACAAAACTTGATACTTATATTTTATGATTGTATACTTTGTAAGTGAATTTTCTTGCCAAACAGTGTTATCTGCACATATTCTGTAATTCTACTCATATTATTTGTACAGGTTAGTTTATCTTTGAGGCTGATTTTCTCAAAACGTGGTTCTTATATACATAAACTTTAAATGCTCACATCTCTGGATTTACTTATAGTAGGGAAGCTATTCAAAGACCAAATGAAAGCTTATAACGTGATCTACCCAAATATAATATAAACTCAATTTTTGATTTTCTAACCATGAGACTCATTTTGTGGTGAGACCTCACCGACCAGCCCTCCTTAAACTAACGTTAAAATACCGCACTTTCGGCGGTAAAGAACAATTAAAACCTCATAAAAAAAGGCAACTAATCCGTTTACCCATAATTGAATCCAAACACTCAGTACTTATCCTTGACAATGTGTTAATCCAATTAATATAGTGAGATAAGGTAACGTTAGTTTAAGGAGGGCTGGTCGGCCTAATGATTCTATGAATGTAAGGAAAGTGACCAAAACACATCCAGAACATTATATAATTCAGAAGTGTACGTTTAAAATATTTTGCGACTGTCCCTTTAATTTAGTTTGAATAAGATACTAGGAACCAACTTCAAAGGCATTTTCATTTGTCAATAGGACACTATTGCAAAATCACGCGATCGTCGCAAACTATTTAGGTCTGAACTTGTTTATATAGACGTTTGAACCCTCCCCATTATCCGATAAGGATGAAAAGTTGTAGGCAAATTATCATAGATTTGTTGGAACAGCAGTGAAATATTAACAAGTATTAACACAATCATATCAAGTCATATAAAGGTATACGAACTGAACATTGAATATGTTTACAAAGGTGAAACGACCAGGATTCCTGGCACGAACAGCAGGGCTGTGATTTTTTGTAGCCAGTTACAAATGGCATAACATGTTTATTTTGATCTTAGTTATTCGGAAATGCTCATAAAAATGACACTGTACGTCAAGTGAAGCAGGGACAGTATAATTTCAGTGTTCCCTGAGTAGAGGAAATTCAGATTAAAGCAGTATAGAAAACCATATTTTAGGGCATCTTTGAGACATGCGGCTGTCTGCCCACAATTATTATTTAGTTAAATTTGTATTAAAATGGCACAGATTTTAATACAGGTACATGATTTAGATTTTACTCATAAAGTTTATTTATTAAAGATTATACTTTTTAAATGTCCACATTACTTTGTTTTTATGTGTTAAAAACAAAGTTGCCCCTTGGAATGACACCAACCGAAATTCGACAAGCAACTAACATCGACACATTCAAAAAATATACTCAAAACACATCTTTTTAATTTATATTTTGCTTTCTCTGGATTTTTGTTTATAATGTAAAGCACATTGAGGCTTTCAGCAAAATGCGCTTAATCAAGATCAAACTATTATTAAAATGTTTTCTAAATATAGGCCTGTTAATCCGTACCGGTATATACTCGTGTATAAGTCGACCCGTGTATAAGACCACCCCCGAGTTTAAGAAGATTTTTGGACGATTTTTGTTTGTCGGGCGTATAAGGCGACCCCCGTTTTACCGTCGGAATTCATACATGTTTCTGCATTTTGTGGTCTTGATACTGGCACTGCATCTGGTTGGCTAAAACCGTAGCCAAATGCATGGTTATTTTTCCAAATAATACCATTTTTATGAGATTTTAAATGTTCATCAACATTTTATTCCCCTGTATTGAAAATTGCGTTCATTCATAGGCCTACTAACATTTTAGTAGCTTTATTGCAGTAGTAAATTGGCGTGTAACGGACGATCCGAACAAAACAACGAACATGATTTTAAAAATCTAAAATTTTTGTCGCGCGTATATAAGACGACCTAATGTTTTTCACTCGTAATTTGCTAATTGAAGCCTCCTCTTATACGCCAGTATGCCTATATGGTAGACAGGGTCCAGATGTACCACAATAATTAGCTGTCATCATGTAAAATGTTCACAATTAGTTTTAATTTACTGGTAAAAATAGTTGCCCCTCCCTCCAATATCTGAAGTAGGTCTTTTTGTATATAATAATATAAAAAATAATACAATCCAAATATTATCAGTTCCTTAAGTTTATTTATGTTTTAGTAGGCATCAAATACTTTAAATAGGCCTATTCAAATATAAACTCGCCTTGAATCATTAGTATAATTTCTATATATTATATAAATCATCTTTAGCAATGTGAATTAATTTTTTCATGGGTCATGTCTCTTATCCCCCTCCCCCAATTCAAAACTTTACTTAATTTGAATTATAATTATCATATTAATTATACCCGTTCCTCAAATTACGACGACGGTAAAAACAATACTTTGAAAATATGGCTTTGGTGACACCACTCCAAACTCAAATGGGTAAAGAAGTTGCCGTTAAGTGATTACGCGTCTAGTGTGTTGTTCAAAAGAAGTTCGAGTCTTCTGTTTGAAAAGCACCAATTCAGTAATAAGGATCAGAAGTTCGTCGCAATGGAAATAGCGATGGTGGTGTGCCTTACATCATTTTAAAGCTAAGTTCACATCAAGCCCGGATTCCGGTCCGGAGACCGGAGAAAAAATTGTGAAAAATGGGTTCATTGGTAAACAATAGGACCGTTCAAATCAAATTCGTACGATTAATAAATAAATAAATAAATAAATAATAATAATTAATAAATAAATAAATAGAAAATAACGTTACAAAAATTTGCAGCACCGTCTGCAACGTTATTCAGTCAGACATTAGGTATAAATAAGTATTTTTTTAATTATTATACCGTACCAAAGTGCAGCGTTATTTTAACGTCAAAATTGTTAGTTGGATTAAAAGATCAATGAACTTTATTGACATGTGTTGGTTTATCCAGACAGACGTAGCGGTATCGAAGTAAAGTAAACTAAAATATTTATTTATTAACGTCTCATTCACCCACACAACAAAGGTCAGCCTTACCTGGATTATGAAAAACAAAACATAATATAGTACAATTAAAAAGTAAAGTACAGAATGTAAACAGCAAAGTATTTTATACTCAGTGGCATATCTAGAAGTATTGAAATGGGGGGGGGGGGGGTTGACGGGGACGCGAAGGTTAAGTGGGGCCTCGATGATGAGTAGAGGAGCGCTGATTCGCAAAATAAGGTGATTTTAGGTGATTTTAACTGCTTGACTGTGATTTTTTTTTTTTTTTTTTTTTTTTGTGAAGGGGGCGACTGGTGGGAGAAGGCCTGGAAATGCCGGGGAAGATTTGTAATTAAGTAGACACAAAATCGAGGTGGTTTTTGGTTTTACACTATATGCACTTGCCACCTACAAATTTTCCACTCGGAATTTTTTTTTTTTCCATTCGGGGATTTTTTTTTCTGCAGGTTGTGTTCCTCTGGCTATTTTTCCCGTATTTTTACGATATTATTTTCTTAGTTTTTCCACTGACTTTCCATCAGTATATAAACTGTTTCTTAGTGAAGTAACATCATACAAATATACTATAATTATGTGTATAGCCTTTATTGTTATTCTTGTTCAATAATGCAAGTTAAGAAAGAAAAAAACTAAACTAAACTAAGAAGCAGACCGGCTTAAAAAATATACAGCAAAAAAAGTTAGGCTTGTATTACGCTGGCGTTAAAAACTAACCGTTTTATCTGATTTTAATGGTCCCAAATGAAGTATTTACCGAATGCTAAGGTCGTCGAATAATAATTGCATAATCGCCACCGAATGAAAAAAGTTGCCGCTGCATGCTAAATGCAATGGGTGGCCGAATGGTGAATGAGTAGCAGAGCTATACTTGCCCCGAAGGGAAGTGTAGGCGTTCCATACACGTGGTCCAATGGTGGACTTTACTTATTGATAACGCTTGTTTAAATAGTAATACGGTACAATATCCACATAAAATGCGTTTTGATGAATCAGTTGAAATGGAGGACGCAAAATATGACGAAGATTCCTTACCAAGTGGTTGAAATTAGACTACCGTATTGAGAAGCGTTACTTGAGAAATAGTCTATACACTATTTTGTTTCTAATATGACGGAGCCGGTGGAAAAGAGGTAAGGAGTACTGTACTCTTAGGATTTATGTGCGATTTTCAGTATCTGTTTTAACAGCAGCCATAATAATGATATCATTATCGTACTATACTGTTATATTATAGCACCGCAACAATCCCAAAGAGGTAAAAGAGCGTTTTTGCTGAATATTTGAAAACCTGATTTACTTTTCTTACTGAAATAAAATTGATTGTTGTAAAAGATGAAGGACATTCGCAACCTTCCGAAAACGATAACGAAAACATCATTAACATTGTCGTCATTCGTGCCTAAAACTTCCTTAACAATATCGTCCCTTATATAACGTAGTTAAATGGCGAATGTGGAAAATAGCATTTTGAGAAAAACGCATTTAATAATTTTTGAAAATAGTAATTTTTATTAGCATACTTTCTTTTTTTATGAAATTGCCTAAATTTCTCTATCATTATGTTACATTGCATCCTAATACTGTGTATACAATATACATAAATAAACGATTGGTTACTTAGCAATTCATCATTATTCGTCACTTTGAAAAAAAAAATAACGTATAAATTCGCTACACATTAGCCACTTTGTGAAGAAAAAAAATCAAACAAACTAACATTCGCCACTGGAAATTCAATCCAATAGGCAGGATTTTTTATGTGAAGGGTTGGTTGCTAATGTATACCGTACAGCTGCACCCTTTCTTCTATTTAAGTCGTTACTCTATTCATGCTATTCTATCTTGTACACCCAATAGAAAGCTCAATATTTGAAAAACAAGAATATTCGACCATCAATATAACACGCGGATCAAGAAATTGATAATATTGGGAACGTAGGCTTATACTCTATTTTCTTCCTCCATGGCCTATATACAACTTTTGTAGTTTACATATCAGTGGATTTCCTATCATACATGATTTATTTTTTGCATTGCAAATTATTGTTAGAAACTAGTTGTAATTCAACTTTAACTCATTCTTAGCTCAGTTAAAATAAAATTATAAAGAATCTATATCATCATGTACGAAAACATACCAAAAACCCCTATTAAATGGACAATTTCACGTTTTTAGTTAGTGTCTCCTGAATAGGAACACCATGAATAGGTGTAGCCCTATTCCTTAGTTACTTATCTAATTCACTCAATTTTTTTCAGAAATTCCACACAGTAAGACAACTTAAATTCACAAATTAAAAAAAAAAACAAAAACGATTTTTCCACACTCGTCACCACGTTATTTCGGTTATGTAAGGGACGATATGCTGCACGAGCAGAATATGATCCTTGATTCATGTAAAAGGCATGCATTGCTTACGTTGTGACAGATATCCTACTGTAAGGGAAGGGTTTTCTAAAAATGTGATGACGTATCCGTATTCGGTATAGTTTTTGCAAGCTTGCAAAGACTCCCTAATATGTTTCAGTGTTTAATATTAGTATGTAAAAATTATAATTTTTCTTTTTTTTTAAATCTAAATAGCAAAACGCTTCAGAAAGCCATCGCTTCTAAAGACAGGTCAACAGTACGTCGGCTTGCCGAATCGCTAAATATAAAATATGAGGTAAGTCAATATAATAGTATGCAACAGTAGTAGCAATGCTACAATAGGAACAAAAATTATGTTACATTGTATTGACATTTTTGTGACATTTAATGTGATGCTGAATTTTAGGTGTTTCTAACTGTGTTCGAGATTGTGAACTATTATTCGACTAACAATTATTTGAAAACCCCGAGTCTCTCAACTGGTATGAAATAATAATGGTTAAAACCTAAAAAACTACATACGCCAAGTATTCAGTTGGTGACTTTTAACTCAAATGACTACTTTATCTTATCACCTGGTACGACTTCTATAGCACTAAATAGTGCGTTCAGAATGAAAATTGGTCTTAGTGATCAGAAGGTTTTAATGTTGAAAACAAACTTGTAATATTCATCAAAGAAATGTTAAAATATTACATTTTTAATGATCGATATCAATAATTTGTGCAAAATTATTATTTTCTACACAGTAATATAAATTAGCATATAATCAATTTAAAAAACATATAGTAAAAACTTCACAGAAAACAAATACTTTCCACACTTATAATCAAATGTAATTTTTTTAAAATCCATCCAAATATTTTGTGCATAACATACGTCACATTTATCATAGACGTAACATGATAATGTTGTCACAGATGTGACATCATTAAACACATATTTTACTATCAGCACTAACAATTAAGCATTTTTTGTAATTCTTAAATGAAAAAATCATGGTTCAGTTCAGTTTTTCTTATTTTAAACAATGGCTTCAATTTTTTTTATTAAGATAACCTTACTTTAACATAATTGCAATAATATTTATTTAGAACATTGGTCATTAACATTGACAATTTTTCCAACGCCATCTGACTATTCTGAAGTTTTAAATACTTATAGAGATCTTGGTAATTCTCTTTATTTTGATATATATTCTGAATAAATGCTAAAATAAGCCATGGAATACCAATTTTCAAGAATACAGCATTCATCATTCTAAAGTTATAAACTTCTAAAATTAGTACATACCAAAATTTATGTTTGTACTATAGACACGCCCGCTTTTGTTGGCGTCTCAAACAAACGAATTCTGGTATAAGTTTGACTGTGTATTCGTTTTAACCACACGGGGGAATTCCAGAATATTTTCTTGACCCACCCAGTTTTCCCCAGGAAAAGAAGAAAAACCACAACTCGTCTGGGAGAAAACAAATTATATGTATTGTCTAAATAGTGGTAGACTATCTAGGGGGCCTATATATAAAATCGATTAAATAAGCCTCTGAATCCGTAAATTGGACCACTTTCAAAACATTCCCCCCCCCCCCTCCCCTCCCTCCAAAAAGTTGTACCTTTTTCTCGTTCCTCACAGAAAATACAAATATTTTAGCCTAGATTCTAGGCATCATTGGTTGAGAAGTGGGGCAACAGAAAGTACTATTCCCCTCAAATAGCACTATTCCCCTAAACAATTAGTACTTTTTTGTCACGATGTGCAAACCAGAGTTGCCAGATAGTCGACAAGCTTCACTATTCCCCTCAAAAATTAGTACTTTTTTGTCGCGATGTACAAACCAGAGTTGCCAGATAGTCGACAAGCTTCACGGCCAAACACACGCCATCAAACGGCCAAATTCAGTCAAACTTTTTTTATTTCGATATCGGCCAAAATTTGGCCAGATTTTAATCAGATTAGAAGACAACATTGGGTACATAATATTCATTTAAAATTCAAAAATTACACGAAAATCAACTGTCATTTGTTTGAAATTGAAGAAATTAAATGATATACACAAAGCAATGTTAATCATTCACTGTTTTTGTTTTTATAATTAATCACCATAATTAAATGCCCAGCTACATGATAATATCAAATATGTTCTATAATTAGTTGCTAGCATGTAGACTTATTTAAAACCACATTATTAAGATCGATCTAAATTTGATTTAAATGTATTAAATAACGGTAGTGGATATATAGTAATAATAAGGGCCTGTTATGGAATCTTGAATGACAATTCCGTGGGTCTCTTTAATTAGAATAAAAGTTGCATTAGTATTAGTATGTTAACACTAACCGGTGTTAAGTCTGGGGTGGCGCCAGCGGGGGGTGGCACAGGTCCCCCGTCGGAGAGAGCTGCCCCCCCCCCCTGTTTGGGGAGAAAAACCACAATTTGTCGGGGAAAAGGAAAACAATCATATGTATTTTGCACATAGATTTTACAATCCTCTAACTTGTCAAAATTACTACTTTCGCAACATTTTATGCGATGCTCTACCACGCCGATATTTGCTCTTGTCAGGGGAAATTTCCTCGTTGTCGGGGGCATCGTCTCCCCGTCGGTGACCTCGGACTTCATAAAAAAAATATACATTTCATCCGAACATTTAACTACTAATCTTTTAAATAAACTCTCTTACGTCAACTGGCCAATTGGGGACATATACATTAAGTGTTTAGTGCAGTTCGAACCGGAGTACGACAGCGAACGTTCAACGTAAGTTAAGGTACACGATTAGAATCAAATCTTTTGTACAAAACAACATATCCAAAACAAGTTTACTTTATATTAGGCCTATATTGAAAAATATAAACTTTCCACAAATTTCGGCCAAATATAGTTTGGTCGTGACTTTTCCAACGTTACGGCCAGGCGAATTTTTATACGGCCAGATTTGAGGAATCTGACCGTCAAAAAGGGTTCGTATACTTTATGTGCACATGTCAATTGTGTACACTTGGCCTATGGTTTATAGTTCTTATCCGGGAAGACTTGCTCCACCCAGAGCATAGGCGAGCGTGTATTTGAATCAAAGCAAATTTAAACAGGTGATTGCATTGATACGTTGAAACATGGAGAAAATAGAACAGAAGTGATGCATTTACCGTGAACCTGCAAATACAATACTAAATAGGTTTATTGTTCAATTAAAGTTTTATTGAAATTCAACTATGTAAGCTAAGAAACTTCATTCGATGCTGCGAAACTGGACTTCGCATGTTATGTACAGTAGGCGTTGGTTTTTCCCTCTCTACCTGGTAATTTCCTTCCCCTCAATTTTCCCTGCCCCCAGATTTCACACGCTGGCGCTGCCACTGTACAAAACAGAATAATCAAGTTGCATAAAATAAATATCACCTTCTTTTATGTTTTACATTGAAATATTTGTTCACGGTACAAGATACAAGATACAAGATAAAATTTATTGTCTCCATTAAAAAGAAAACGAAGAAATTACAAAAGCTCGCACCCATTAAAATTACATTAAAATCACATTAAAATCACATAAAAATTTAACAAAGTACATCAAAACCCATAAAA